TCCGACACGATTGTAGGGAATTGTTGTTGCTTATGGGTGAAACGATGGGAATTTTAGTAATGGACTCCAAACGCTCGCTTCAACCACCAAACGGACGTAACCATGGTCACACACACACACAAAGGGGAAACCTGCAAAACACTCGTTTTAATTGGTGATCATCCCATAAAGAGCCAAACGTATTGTTGAAGGAAGATGAGCCAAGTCAGTAAAACTTGGCGAGTTCGAACTAGGAACCGTCTACACTGTTGGCACTTTGCATTCCACGCATATAACTCGTAAATCAAATGCGACGAGCACACAGTACTGGCAATGATGCCTCGGAAGCAGATCGATGACATTATAGGGGGAATGTAACTACAGGATACAGCTAGGTTTACGTTGAGGAAAATTTATTCGAACAAAACTGCTGCGCAATGGTCTCGGATAAATGAGGCACACGCATACTCATTACTCATGCTCAAGCGCACGTCAACATGATGAACATGTGTGAACACACCGTTAGATAAACGTTCATACGAACAGACATGCACAGCGATATAAAGACCGGTTGTTTCTCGGAAAGCGTGAACGTGATTACTTGTGACGTATTGGGAAAATGAGAACAGTTCGAATGATAAACTGGCCAGGCTAGCTTCGAGCACCATAGATACACTATCACGCACATATGACGCAAATACCCACTGATCTGCGCGACACATGCTCAGAGGAGAAACAATATGCACAATCGGACGGTAACAGAAGAGACATTCGTTTACAGCACTTGCACAGACAAGCAAACCATCAGGGCGTACCAACCAATGCAACGACGAATGAACCTGTGTATCTTCAGTCAGTTGGACAAATAGGTACCAGAGAGACAGGCGGGAGAAAATACAGACGAACGAATAAGAGACTCATGACCAAACAGTTTGTCGTTTACACGGTTCCAAGGATTGACCGAAGCAGAGGATGAGCGACGAAATGTGGAACGGTAGAACGGACTTGCTGACACACCAACGAACGGATTAGAGAATCAAAGTAGACGGACACACACAAATGCACAGTAGGACAGTCAATCACAGGTGTTGACAGACAGGTGAGCAGGAAAGCGAATTAGTGTCAACAAGCAGACAGCTTACACGCGGATAGGAATCATTGCATGCGAGGTCTCAACAGGAACAGGCAAACAAATCAGGTCACACGCAGCGATTTGATTTTATGCAACACACGCACCGGACTGATTGTTGACCGTAGTGTTTTGACTGTTGGCGGGAGAAATTACAACTGGAATAATAACAGTAAGCGCATTCCATTCGGTGTCCGATAATGCGGACAGATCAAGCGGATCTCACGGATATGTGACCCATGTCTTCGATGTATGTCTAAGATCATTTCATCTCGTTTTCCAACCGCCTGAATTCAATAGATTACTCATTAGCGATCAGCTTGACCCAATCCGGATTGGATCGAGCGATCCGTGGTTGACAGCACTGATGCACTGTTATCCGTGCATGTGAAGTCTAGTCAAACCAATGTTTTGCAGCAGGTAATCAACCTGTTCTCTTGTTGAGGGACCGTATGAAAATGTGTTAGAAGATGGACCCGAAACGTACACTGCCAATCATTTCGTTCACATCTACTCACCTTTATGCAAAGAAGGTTTTTTAGTTCTCTGTAATCGTCACTGGTAGGATCCAAAAGACTGTCTGTCCACGACAATAGACCACCAGAATCGGCCACTGCTCCACTGATGTAAACAACTAGGTTAAATAAAAAGGCAAAATGGACCGGTGGAAGAATAATTCGTCCATTATTGGAGTAAGTTTTCATTGGTCATTATGGTCCATGAAATGACATATCACGGTTTATGCAATATGAATACTCGTATGCACCGGGAAGCTACGCGATCCATTAAATCTAGAGGTCGATTTGACTGGTCTAAATGGTCAGCATCAGTGAAGAAATATTCTAGGGAAATGCATTTCGC